AACATATGTACTAAAGTGCTGGACACAGATGACGTATGTACAGATTGTGATGAGTTGTATGAGCCCCTAATAAAATGATTATTTAATTAAAATAAAACAAAACAGCCATTGCATCATAGTTCTACCCTGACACACAAGGGGGCATTTTTTTTATCATGAAAGACTATTTGAACTTATGTGTCGAGAATTGTGCTCTATAGGGTTTCTCTTTTTTTTAAATCATTTTATTAGGGGCTCTTACAGCTCTTATCGCAAGCCAGCCAGCCATCCATTATGTCAAGCACATTTGTACATTTTTTCCATCATTCTCAAAACATTTTCTTTCTACTTGAGCCCTTGGTATCAGTTCATTCCCCACCCCACTCCCTCATGAACCCATAATAATTTTTACATTATTATTATTTTTCATGTCTTACACTGACCACTATCTCCCTTCACCCATGGAGGGGGTTACATGGTGATCATTGTGATCGGCTCCCCTTTTTGCCCCCACCTTCCCCCTACCCTCCTGGTATCACTACTCTCATTATTGGTCCTGAGGGGTTTATCTGTCCTGGATTCCCTGTGTTTCCAGCTCTTATCTGTACCAATGTCCATGCTCTGGTCTAGCTAGATTTTTATGGTAGAATTGGGGTCATTATAGTTGGGGCAGGAAGCATTAAAGAACTAGAGGAAAGGTGTATGTTTTTTCATTGCTATACTGCACCCTTACTGGCTTGTCTTTTTGCATTCTCCAAGAATTCATAATAATTCACTCATAGCTATTGAGACGATAACAGCTCATAGTGACCCTATAGGGCCCAGAAGAATTGCCCCTATAAGCTTCCTAGACTCTCAATGTTTATGGTGGTAGAAAGACCTTTCTTTTTCCCACTGAGAAGTTGGTGGTTCCAACTGAGGACTTGGGGATCACAGCCCCAGGTATCACCACTATGTCATCAGGGCTTCTTTCGTAATAACTAGCTAGGGCAAAGTATTTCAAAGCCCTCACTCTTAGAATCACACGCATGTCTTTCACAGCTATCAAGTTGGCTAACCATTATTAATAACCCTACTTATCCCCTGTAGACCACAAGTCTACTCTAAAATATGGAGTTATTATGAGCCAGAATCGAATCAATGTCAATAGGTTTGATTTGTTGAGTTTTTTTGTTGTTTTGTTCTTGTTACATTTCCTGGGAATGGAGTGGGGATCCTGAAAGATCATTGTTAGGACTGATGCTATTGTAGAAGCAACAGATAAAGGGAAGATCTACTAGGAGGACATCACATATCTATTATATATTGATCTCTCAGATATAGGGACAGATCTTGGAAGTTTTGCAGCACTTCACTGTATATATGAGGCAGTTTCTTTCCATTGTTCTGGGATGAGGAGTTGGTGTGTGCTCAAACTGTGGACTGCCCAAATACCCTACCACCAGCTCTTTAATCATGCACAAGGCATCGCTAGTCAGGGTTGTCCCAGGTTACTCCCTGGTCACTGTCTCTCCCCTGGGCTCACACCAACTCTGTGCTCTCTAGCAGGTTCATCATTAAAGTGTTTAACATGCCACCTTCGTACCAGTGGAGACCGTTGTAGAAGAGGTTTTGGTGTGTGCACTGCCCAGGAGAATGAGATGTGCATGACTCTAAAGCTCTACAAGGGTAAGTTGGAAAGTCAGGGAAAGTGCTGTGAGATTCTTAGAAACATTTGAAGGGAAAAGATCAGAAATTTTGAGTCTCAGACTGAGACCATCTGTGCAGAAGGAGCACAGATGTATATGTGTGATAGATGATTTGGGAAATGGGGCAGGGTGAAGGTGGGTTCCTTGTATATGCAGATAGATGAGTTGGGAAATGGGGCAGGGTGAAGGTGGGTATTCTATATCCTAAATAAAACTGGTCAAGCAGATTTGTACCCTGCAGACACTAAAGCACTAGTTGCTGATTTTCGAGGAGGAAAGAGTAAAAGGGCTCTCAGGGAATTCAGGCGCAGGAGCCCGGCATTTGTCTCATGGTTGCTGCATCTCCCTGACTGTGCTCCAAGCAAAGTATAATCTGGGAATCCATTTCGATACTTACTTTACTGCCTGATTAAATTTTTGTTAGAACTACTGCTAGGTTTTATTTAACTTTGAAGAACTTAGATCATTGGTTTATTTTTCTATGATTATTCTTTACCACAGATGGAGAGCTCAACATTATATATATGGAATGTGAGAAATTCTGCAAGAATCTACAATTTAAACAAGATGGTTGGACTTATGTGCATAATTGCTGTGCCACTGATTACTGTAACAATGAAATCTAGGATAGTTTCCCCCTAAGGGCTCACTTTAGGAAGTCGTTGATACATCTTTATACTCTGCTTGCCTTTGCTATCCTTAGCTTGGATCCTACATTGGTTATATTTTTTCTATTATAGGGACTGACATTGTTATACTCCCCAGATATGCCTGCCTGGAAAGTCCCTGACATCGAGAAAGGGAGACCCAGCACAGTAAAACGGAACAGGGCTGCTCCAGAACCCTAGTGGCAAAATGATTTTGAGGTCGCCTAAAAACTTAAAAATTCGCAAATTCTTAAAATCTAAAATTCCAATATAGCACTATTATGTTTAAACAGAACTAACCACAAAATAGATGTTGGACACTGAGGTAGTTAGTTTATTGTGCCAACCTGGCCGATAAACACATGTGGGGTTAATTGAAGGCCAGAGAGATAAATGGCTTGATGAGCCTCCCCTTTCTAGTTCTCAGGTATCTTGCTTTCTGATGGTTGGACCAGGGTGCAGCTGCTTTAGCCAGTTCCCTGCTTCAGCTGGCAAGGCTCACTTCCTGCAACACATCCCTGAGGAGAAGCCACATGGACCTACCCTGATGAAGCCCTGCGTGCGGGAGCACCCGTGTGGAGTCCCTTGCCAGCACTGAGATGCTTACACATTCACTGACTCAGCTTTCCTCCTGCAGTCAGCATCATTGCGTGCGCTGTGTGAGATGGAGGAGGACTTTGTGGATTGGTGTTGGACATATGGGTTAATGGGTTAATGTTGGACTTGTGGGCTTGGGCAGTACTGGGTTGGGATGTTTTCTTGATGCACACTTAACCTTTATATAAAATTCTCTCTTACACATGAGTTTCTGTGGATTTGTTTCTTTAAAGTACCCAGACTAGCACAGTTACTAAATATTTGTCTTTATGGTCACAAAGCTATTTTCAACAGTGGGCAGCATCCACTTCAAGCTCTGTCACTGTAATTTTCTTGGCATTTTCAAAGTATGTCCATAAACATTAGTAGTAGGAAACTGCCAACAAGGTCCTTCTCTGCACCTTTGGCATTCATACCCACGTAGACACTTCTATTTCCATCAAAATGTGCATTCAAGATACATAAGAACTCTTTCTTCCATCTTCTGATCACTCCTTGTTCCTTTACTAATATTTTTCTATAACTTTTCTTCTTTGCCTATCACCTACACACACACACACACACACACACACACACCACGTCAAACTCATTGCCATCAAGTCAAATCTGACTTCATAACCCTAAAGACAGGGTAGAACTACCCCTGTGGGATTCTGAGATTGTAACTCTTTACAGGAGTAGAAAGCCTCATCTTTCCCCCATGGAGTGGCTAGTGGTATCCAACTGCTGGCTTTGTGGTTAATAGCCCAATGTGTAACCACAATGCAACCAGGACTCCTACTCCCAAACAACCCCCAATGCTCCCTCTTCTGATTATCCAAGGCATTGTAGGGATACTTTTTGAAATATTCTCATAATTAACCATTTTCCATATTGTTTAATTTATCCCACTATATTATAAACTGCAGTAAGAACATGTGACATGTCTTACTCCTATCCATTGTCATTTCTTGACTAATGAATCTTTATGTTTAATTGAACAGCCAGTGATGATAATGGAATTTTTCTTGAACATCTGTTCATTTTGCAGGATTTACAATGATGCCTTCATACTTTTTTCTGGCTGCATGCCTATTTTGTTGAGCTTTTTGGAGAAATAGAAAAATCCCCTACCAGAAGAAGAATGTTTACTTCTGTACCAATATACCATGTATTTTCTTCAAAATAATTATGCAAAGACAAGTTCTTGGTTCTGAGACCCTGTGGTAATCAGATGAAGGAGTCCTCATGGCACAATGGCTGGTTGCTCACTTGCTAACTGAAAGGTTTGAACACACCAGATGCTCGTTTAGAAAAAAAAAAACCTAATATCTGCTCCTGTAAAGATAGGGATATTCTACTTTTTTATAAGGGTCATTGTGAGCAGCATGCAGCAACTGTCCTTAAATATGTCATTCAAAAAATATTTCTTTGATGGGTTTCTTTCACACTCATTGTATTAGTCTGGGTACTTTGGAGAAACAAATCCACAGCAACTCATATATAAGAGAGAGTTTTATGCAAAGAAAATGTGCATCACAAAAACATCCCAACCCAATGCTGCCCAAGCCCACAAGACCAACATTAACCCATTAACCCAGCACCAGTCCACAAAGTCCTCCACCTCACAAAACAGAGGCAATGATGCCAACTGCAGGAGGAAAG